GCATTCGACCGAACTTGCAAAAACTGGCAGATAATATATCAAATTTATTACCTAAAAACTCAGCCACAGTTTATGAAAAGCGGTATGAATTTTTTTTTTTTGCGCAGAAACAACCATGCAAAATATATGGAGAACACCTCATTGCATACGAGTATTTCGCTGAAAAAGCAAATTCTGTGAAATCTTTAACACTTTGGGCTGCATAGTCGTAGTTAAAGTCAACTCTGTTAATAAAAAACAGCATAGATATATCTAAGTACACCAAGTTTTCAAGCAAAAAATATAGGTTACATTGCCAAGAAATCAAATATATTTACAAGAGAAGACTTACCAAAATTTTTAACAGAAGCCCGTGATTAAATGTACATGATGTTAAAGGTGATCTCAAACAAGGTCAATCACATTGTCTATAAATCATTATGTTTTAGGTTTATTTTTTATTAGAAGTTGTAGGAGCATGTGGAATGGATAAATTGAAAAATAATGACGGCATTCAAGACAAAAACGATACGCTAATAATTAAAATTCCAACGTCTAAAACTGGCAAAGCACGAGAATTTACAAATATGTGTAAAAATATTTATCCAATTGAAATATAGTAAAAATACCTAATTTTAAGACCGCACCATACACCAGACAAATCATTATTTATACATTACATTTGGATAGTGAATGCAGCAGCTGCTGCATTGTACAAATATACCTGCAAACACACTGTAACAAATTATGCAGACACCTCTTTTGACTAAAAGATATATATTTAACTTTATCCATACGTTGTCAACTTTGTTAATAATTGCAATCTCTAACTTCATAAGAAATATGAATAATCTACTTTGGTGTTTTATAGTAGTATTAAATGTTCATAGAATATAATTGCACTTACTACGAAGTAAGCTTTCCTAGTTTTAAGTGGTTTTCTTTTCTCTTTGATTATCTTAATTTCTTCAGCCTCTATGTGGCTGTTTTAATTCCAAAAAATTGTTTCTGAATAAACTGATTCATACCACTTTTTCTTTCTTTTACTCGAAAACAGTTTAAACTATAACTCCAAATATTTACCTACTTTACAACGTGTCAAGCATTCGGTTGTTGTAAATGATGCAACCATAAATACAAATTTGAACACTGATATGACAGGTTTGAGGCTAGGATGTGGTTTTCATATACTCCCATTACTTGTTGCCTAAATCTGGCGCGAGGCCAAAAGTTATTATTGACGTATATATATATATATATGTTATCAATATGAAGTCGCATAATCCTTCTCTAATTAGAAAACTGTCCAGTGATTTAAAAAAACTAGCCGGGTATAAATAAATAGCGAATTTCTGTTGTTGTGTACTTAAATATTAAATTATGCCATGTTAATGTGTTATTAGAATTTCAATATAAATTTTTAATTTTTGTCCTGTGATGGATAATAATTAGTGGGGATTTTTTTGACGTTCGTCTACATTTCCGACTATTTATTCCTTCTCAGTAATTCGATCTTAATTTATTACATAAAACTGGAAAATTTGTAAAATCGCATGCTGGGAGTCAATTATATTTTATCTAATATTAAGTAGCCAACTATTTCGTTCATGTCGCACCAGATGTCACCAAGTTTATTTCAAATACAACCTGGGGAAATCCACTGACTTTCAAGTACACTCAAGATAATTTTATTCTGAAAACGACAATGAGGGGTCAGAAAAACACGTACAGCTACAAATAATACAAATATTAGAACTACAATACTTCAGATGTAGATAAATTAAAAAAAAAACAAAAACCATGGGAAACAAAATCCCGAGAAGCAGATATTTGAGAATTTGTCGCGCAACATGTATCGATCCAAGTAATTTTATCATTTTTGTTGTCTAAGAATTTTCCATTTCTTACATTATTAGTAAAATTATTGAAGTTTATTTACTAAATTTTTATTAATATTTGAAGTGTATATGATATGCACCATTTAAAAAAAGCCTTTTTTTTGGGCGCAAAAAATAACTAGAAGACACTGGTAAGGAAACTACTCTTCTTAGATTATTTTTTTTATAAAATAAACTGAACTGGGTAAAATTTAGCTAACTATTAATCAACGACTACTGATTTTTACTTCCCGAGCGTAAGCAAAGGAAGTATTGTAATCGAGTCCGTCGGCCGACTCTCTACTTTTACGTTTTCTCGATCTTTCATGACCCCTAGAAGACGAAGAAATAGGTCTCCCATTTCCGTCTGTCTGTCCGTCTGTCCGTCTGTCCGTCCGTCTGTCCGTCCGTTCGTCTGTCCGTCCGTCTGTCCGTCTGCCCCCGGATTTTTATTAGACAGATAATCTCCGAAAGTACTCGACCGATTGTTGTGAAATTTTGTACTTATATTAAGAAGATCATGTAGATGGTAAAACGCTAACCAAAATTTGTCTAATCATCCCCACCACTAATGCGATGACGTCACTTCAAAATTGTACATAGTAAATGGGTTTTCAATTGTATAAAATAACATAGTCCTACACATGTAGTTTACAACTCCGAATCGACTTTTCACCCGAAACGTCCAGATTTTTGGAAAAAAAATCAAAATTATAAAACAACATTTTGAAATTTAATTTTTAATCTGCTAAGCAGAATGCTTTGAAATGTTGCAGATGTTTTAAGGCTATAAAGAGCATCATAAATCTTTAGTCAAAAAATATTTGCTTACCCCCTCCAAAAACTTGATGACGTCAGCTCAAAAGTTTGTGGAATAAATCATATCTAAAATGTACAAAATATGATGAGTCTGTACTTGTGATCTATCACTCCATTCATATTTTTTGGATTTGCATATACAGGGTGATTCAAGAAAATAAATGAAAGCGTAAATTTATTTTACTGATTTACTCAGGAACTACAAAACCGAAATCCTATCTAAAATGTACAAAATATGGTGAGTCTCTTCTTGTGATTTATCATTCCATTCAAATTTTTTCGATTTGCATATACAGGGTGACTCAAAAAAATTAATGAATGCGTAAATTAATTTTATTGATTTAATCAGGAACTACAAAACCGAATGCTTTGAAATCTTGCAGATGTTTTAAGGTTATAAAGAGCATAATAAATTTTTAGTCAAAATATATTTGGTTATCTTCTACAAAAAACTGATGACGTCAGCTCAAAAGTTTGCCGAATAAATCGTATCTAAAATGTACAAAATATGATGAGTTTGTACTTGTGATTTATCATTCCATTCATATTTTTGGATTTGCATATGCAGGGTGACTCAAAAAAATTAATGAAGGCGTGAATTTATTTTATCGATTTAATCAGCAATTACAAAACCGAATGCTTTGAAATCTTGGGAATATTTTAATGTTATTATAAGCATGGTAAACTTTTGTTCAAAATGTATTTGTTCATCCCTCCTAAAAAAATTGATGACGTCACCCTTAAATTTTGCTGAATAAATCCTATCTAAAATGCAAAAAATATGATGAGTTTGTACTTGTGATTTATCATTCCATTCATATTTTTTAGATTTTCTTAAGAGGTGGTTCAAAAAAATTAATGAAGTCAATTTATTTTATTGATTAAATTAAAGGCAACACTTATTATTAGTATTACACCCCAACCAACCCAATTTGGTAGACACAAAATTTGTTAAAGGAAAAACTCGGTTGAAACATAAGGGTAGCATCGCTTATTTACATCGACTTTAACATTACAGACCTGCATTTGTTTTATGCGATCACTTGGTTCCGTGAATGTGAAATAGACATGTTTATAATCAACCAATTGTGAATTTCACCGTCAAGAATTAAAATAAAACCCAATGTTTTATATAATAAGCGGAAGTCGAAGCAATAAAACCGATGGTCGTTTTGTATACAGTTTCTCTGTTTGACTTTCACGTATGCTGTTACGCTTGTCATCTTAAATTAAGAATGTTTATACATAAACGATTTTCAGTTGCCGTATACGCGAGTAAATTGTTTCGTTATTTTATTGATTATAAAAAATCAATATTCAAAACGACCCAATTCATTTTCCCGAAAATTTGGGAATACAATAATTTTATTCTTAGTATTACACTACATCTATCCCAACTGATATACGTGTCCTTGCAAAAATGTTGATGACGTCATCGCAATTTTTTTTAAATTCCCACTACAAAAATGTAATGAGAAAAAAACACAATAGCCATGCAGTCGTCAAGTTTCCGACAGCGAGGGAAGTACTGTCTAAACTCTTTAGACCAATTTTTTTTTATTGTTGCACTAGCGGTTTTAAAAATGGGGTTCACTTCTTCCGCTAAGTTGCAGGACAAGAATATTATCTTCAGCGCTAAAATTTTTTTCATCTCAATTATTCAACATTGATTTCCGTATGTAAATTATTACCTATATATTTGTGGTTTTTTGAAAGTCATCTTATGCGCTACGTGACTGATACTGCAAACAGACAAGGGTTTCAAAAACATCGATCAATTTATTATTAAAAGGTGAATGGACATTTCATGTCGGTACGCTGAGATTAAGTAGATACTTCTCAAAAAGGAAGCACATATTCTTCAATTTTTTGAGGGTCAAAGTTTCCATTGCTTTGAAGTGTATTAAAATCGCAACGAGAGCGTGATGGTTTCAGAAGCTCTTTACAAATTGCCCACTGTACTCTTGAACTAATATTTCAACATATTTTCTATAAGTAAGTTATCTATGAGAAAATCTGTGTTCTGCACTCCACTTTATCAGAATACGTGAAGTTGTTATCTACTTGGTTGGCACTTATGAAATCAAAATAGAACGTGTTTAAAAATACTTTAATTATCGAACGTGATTTGGCGACGGATTTGTACATCGCACAGGAAACTATGTTATTTACACTTAATTTTTTGTTAATTTTATGATAACCAATATATTAGCTTTTTTAAATTTTTAAGACAATATGCAATATAATCAGCAACTATTCTTTCACATTTTTCTTGTCTTTCTGTAAACATTAAAATATTTTTATTATTTTCTCAATTATTTTTAGCTTTGCAACACTCCCCTAATGTATGCTGCAAGAGGCAATCATCCTCACAGTTGCCAGGAACTGCTGCTTCATGGGGGCGATTTCAAGCTTCATAATTTGAATGGAGACACAGCTCATACGGTAGCTGTAGAAAATAATAGCACGTTAGGTAAGCATGACCCTAGTGTATGCAACAGTTTTATTACTTTAAATTTGTTTTGCTTTTAGCTCAAGCCGTTATTACAAATTTTATTATTTCTCAACTGGAACCTAGTTCGTAAAAAACAACGTGATTTGTGATTATATATTTTAAGGTTTTCATTAAAATGATTTTGTACTCTGATACTTTTTTGACCTATTCCATAGCTCCTTTCCCTTTTTCTTATTATATTTGTAACATAAAATTAGTAAATGGAATTTGACGTATATCGTAAGATGTGTATATGGGGTTCCTAATTGCAATATTAATGATGACATTAGTTTATTTAGAGTTCTTTTGGATTTGTTCATGTCTCACGACAAAGTATTTGTATTTGGTGATTTTGACATGCCTGGTTTGTCACTCTTCTAGTTCATCGTATCAACCATTGGTAGATACGAAACTGGAAGCCCACTTAACTTAGCTTATTACCTACTCAACCAACTCGCTATTGAATCAATCAACGACCATCAATCCTTGCTTGTTTGCGAGTATCTTGCCTCTATTGAGAAATCTGAGTACATAACACCAAAAGTTGATCTATAGATGTATTTCACATCACAGTGTAGAATTAGTACCTCCCAGAAAACATTCACCGATTTCATTATTATTGTCTAGTTCTTCAATGGAAGAAAACACGACCACGTTTAAAATCCAAGTGTTCTTCAACGGTAACACGTAAATCCTCCTCTTCGAAACCTTGGATTAATAGAGCAGGATACTCAAATTAATTAAGATTCGCAATACATGATATCATGGTAAACTTCTTGATTAGATCGATGCTTTCTTTATTGGCGGCTCATTCAGAGTTAAAATATGGGGGCTTTGAGTACTACAGTTCAAGTAATTAGTAGTAGACTACAAGGGTCGGCATTTGGTCCACACCTTTGTTTAGTTTATACCGCGGATCTAAAGTGCTCCATAAGCTCCCACTTCGCATTATACACCGACGATGTTAAAATTTATAATGATATAGTAACAACCAATTTATTACGGAAAATGACATCGCAGCTGTTCATGATTTGTTGCAAAAATGAGGTTTACGATTAAATTATAGACAAGTGTACTGTGTATATCTAGGATATAAAACTTCTAGGCACACATAAATCATGCGGAAGGTACTAAACTCAAAAAATCAGAGTCATGTTTGCATATTGAGGTCTTAGTAACGTCCAACCTTTCATAGGCAGAGCATGTTATGCATTTTATAAAAAAATATAAGAAGATGGTGTATCTACTAAGTATCATTCGACAAAATAAATGTTGCTCTAGTTGTTAAATTACAGAAAATTTATGTAAGGCCATAAAAAAGTTCAGTAACAGTGTGTAAACACCATACCTACTACAGAGGGAAGAAGGTTTGCTAGAACCTGTACATCGTAGGCCAGCAAGAATATTTTTGAACGGAGTCGGCCTGGATGTCTGAACAGGTTCCAATGTTTCGAGTGCTAGGGAACTCACCGATTAAATATCTATTTACATTAAATACGTACAGCTGAACAGAGGTCATGGCTTCAAACTGACAAAGAGTAAATTCCGCTCCAATGTGGGGAATTTTTTGCCTGCTTAAGTGGTTCAGACTTAATAAATGATCATAAGTCTTAAGTTCAATTGTGAGTCCTATCGTAGTCACCAAGGCACCTAAAATTTCTACTTTCCTCACGAAATCAAAGACTAAGGACTGAAATAAAAAATTCGAAATCTTTTTATTAATTTCTGGGTTATTATTAGAAATTAGCAAATAAACACTAAACCATTTTTGAACATAATTAACTTAGAAATACTGTTAGTCGTTATAGAGCCCAATGTTGATGTTTTCGCGTAAAAATATGAAGCCGGAACTTCCCAATGGGGTGCCCCCTAACACTATCACTTAATGTCCATTCAAATCAATCGTTACGAGACATTTTCACTAACGATTACGCAAAACCGATATAATGAATTTGCTATTTAATTCTTCCATGGAAATGTGGAACTAGAACCAACTCTTTTTGAAAATATAACGCAGAATCAAAATATCAGCTTGAAGAAAAGAACACCACCTTCTGCAATCGTGCAGGCTAAAGATATTCACCCTCTACCTAGTTACAAAACAAAACCATACCGGTCTCTAGAACTAGGTTACTCAGGTAGGTACTAAGAAACGTAGATCGATTTCTTTTATAACTTGTAACTACCTGTGAAAACGTGACGTCTTTCTTAATCAACAAATACAAGGGTAAACAATTGGAAGTGAAGGACTTGCCGGGTAACCAAGATGCAAGAAGCACATCATTCAAGGTGGAGGCAGACCTGAATCTTCTAGAAGACCTATATAAATCAAATAATTGGCCTACCGGCATACTAGTATAGAAATTTGACTTCAGGTTTTTTCGAAAACCAGCAGGTGGTTCGAATAAAAAAAAATTATACGAATCAACGGAACCTCAAAACGATCTAAACAGAAATTATAATCTATTTTCCTTGAACTGTCAGTGCATCCGCAATAAAATGTGCCAGCTTGATGTATTCCTAGAAGAAAACCGGATTGATATATTTTGTGCTTGTGAACATTGGTTATTACCTGCTGAACTACATGCATATAAGTTATTAGAAGTTGAAACTGTAACTGCCTACTACAGACCAAATAAGACACATGGTGGAGTGGCTATCTTTTTTAGAAGAGGACTTGTTGCTGTTGAAGTACCAGTTGGGAATTTCTGCATAGAAATAGATTTTGAAGTAAGTATTCTTCACTTAGTTGATGAGAATATTATTGTAATTGTAATATATCGGTCACCCTCAGGCGACATTGAAATTTTTAAAAAAAATTTCGAAAGTGTTTTGAATTATCTGTCAATTAAATTTAATAAGGCTTTTTTCATTGTAACAGAAGATTTTAATATAGATTTTTTAACCAACAGTAACTATAAAAACTGATTTGTAGATTTAAGATCCAACAAAAAGAAATCATAAAAGTGTAACCACGTACGACAACATCTTGACAAATATTTCCAATAAATATGCTATTAACATTTGCGACAAAAAGTTTGGAGATCACCTTGGTATTTGCTTCTCATTTGAAACGAGTTGTCCTCTAAAATCTAGAATACCAATAAAATTATTAGAACTGTCAATTGTGTACATTATTGTTTAAGCAAAACTTGAGGAAGTCTCCTGGGAGAAAGTATATATGTGTCCTGCTAATAGTGTTCATGAACAGTGGGACAAATTTATAAACCATTTTACACCACTATTTAATGAATGCTTTCCGTTAAAAACCATCAATACACGTTTTAACAAATTAAAGTATTATAATTGTCCTACTGTTAAAGACTTTAAAAAACAACTTGACAAACTATATGTAGTAAAAGAATGTGACCCTAATTTTAGTAGTATAATCTTAAAAACAAATTAAAGAAGTGGTGGTTATGATGATGTATCAAACGATATTATTAAAAGTTGTGCTTTTGAAAATGCCGCTCCCTTGGCATATATAATAAATAACTCTATAAAGTTTGGCATCTTTCCTGATAAGTTGAAGTTAGCCGAAATAATTGCGGTCTACAAAAAAGGAGATCCCACTTTGATTATCAACTACAGGCCAATAAGCTTGCTATCTTCCTTTGCAAAAGTTATTGAAAAAGTAATGCATGACAGAATAAAAAATTTCTTTATCAAGTATAAACTATTTAGCCCCGAACAACATGGCTTCCTGGAAGGAAGATCGACGGATACTGCGGTATTCCAGTTTTTGAGGAAAATAATTGACAGCTTAGAAAAAAAAGAAATAATTTTAGGGCTTTTTCTTGACTTATCGAAGGCATTTGATTGCTTATATTACCACCTTTTTATTTTAAAATTGGAGAAATATGGAGTCAGGGGGCCAGCTCTTGCTTGGGTCAAGTCGTATCTTTCCGATAGATATTATAGGGTTATTTTAGAAAAAGATGACACAAAACATGTTTCTCGAGCAAAGAAAGTTGTGATGGGAATTACGCAGGGTAGTATAATTGGACCTTTATTTTTTATAATATATATATTAACGATTTGCATAAGGTACAAGACGGTAACAGCTGTGTCGTGAACTTTGCGGATGATACAAACTTGTTGGCCTGTGGAAAGGATTTCCCTTCAACGCTAAGAAAACTAGAAGATCTCATGTGCTAAACAAACATCTGGTTCAATAATAACAAATTAATACTAAACAAAGATAAAACTGTGGCTGTTACGTTCCAGACTAAGCAAAATTTAGAGCTACCAAATGTACCTAATACAGGTTGGTGACAATACTATGAGGTTATCAAAATCTACCCGATTTTTGGGAATCGAAATAGACTCGACCTTGACCTAGAAGAATCATGTAGAATATTTGTCAAAAAAACTTAATACAGTCCACTATTCTATCCGTGTACTAAAACATACTTAGACAAAAAACAGTTGCTAATGAAATGATATATCATGCTAACTTCCATTCTCTTTTAAGATATGAAATAATATTTTGGGGTCAAAGTACAGAAATCAATAGAGTATTTATTTTACAAAAAATATTTTACGAACAATTTTTGACTTGAAGTTCAAGGAGTCTTGCCGGGGAATTTTCAGGTACAACAATATCCTTACAGTGACAGGACAGTACGTCTACTCGCTATTAGTATTTATGTATTAAAATCGAAATGATTTCGAAATTCCAAAAAAACAACAAAACTATAACACCCGAAACAACAATTTGATGCTTCCAAAGCACAGACTTACGCTGAGCGAAAAATCATCTTAGTGAACCAATAAAAAAAAATACAAGAATTGAACATAGTCAAAAAGGAACTGTGCAAAATATTAGCGCAACTAGAGCCATACAACTTGGACGAATTTCATAATTGTAAATAATTAAAATAACTTAGCATTTAAGTCAAAACTTGTGTTTTATACGTATCATTTCGTTTGCTAATTGTGTTATACACTGCAAATTATACTTTGTCTTGTATGTTTATCGATGTTATTGTCATTGATATTTATTTGGCGTTTCTTGCCCTGTTTTATATAATGTACCTGTGCAAGAATAAGATATTCTATTTTATTCTATTCTATTCTATTTTATTCTATTCTATTCTATTTTATTCTATTCTATTCTATCCTATTCTATTCTTCTATACTGGAATTAGAGG